ATTCCTCGGATTGTCATAATGCCTCAGAGTCCGATCCGTTATCATCCCCAATCTGTCAGCAGATCTGATCCATCCTGTGGAGATTCAATTCGGCTTGCAACATAACTGATCTCTCCTCCAGCTCCAAAAAGGTATGTTTTAAAGTAAGCCCCCACCTTCTCTCTCTGCCTTCTATCTCTCTGCTCTCTCTCTCTCTCCCCCTCTCATCTCTCATCCCCCCTCTATCCCCCTCTCTCTCTCTCTGCCCCCCTCTCTCTCCCCCTCTCTCTCTTGCCTGACCCCCCCCTCTCACTCTGCCTTCTCTCTCTCTGCTGCCCTCTCTCTCTGCCTTCTCCCTCTCACTGTTCTTTCTCTCTCCCTCTCTCCTCTCTCTGCCCCCCTGGCTCTGCCCCCCTCTCTCTGCCTTCTCTCTCTCAGTCTTCTCTCATTTCCTCTCTCTCTGCCCCCTTTCTCTCGCTGCCTTCTCTCTCTCCTTCTCTCTCCTCGTTTCCTCTCTCTCTCTCTCTCTCTCTCTCTCTCTCTCCCCTATCTCTCTCTCTCTCTCTGCCCCCCTGCCTTCTCTCTCTTCTCTCTCTCTGCCCTCTTTCTCCCCCCTCCTCCTACATGAAGCTGTAGTACTGTCTTGGGTTGGAGGATAACACTGACCTGTGCATTCTCTGCCCGCTCCTCCAGCACTCCGTCTTCGGCACCGTGGCAGGGATGTGGGCCCGCCCCTCTGCTGAAAACTCTGAGGAGGAGAGGTGTCTGCAGTGCCTGCCTCACTGTCTGTCCCCTCAATGCCTGCTTATCTCAGAAGCGGCACATACAGGGACAGACTGAGCCTCTCATGGAGCCCTGCAGTGACCCCGGGTCCTCGGGCAGTGCCCGAATGGTCAGTTTCTCTCCTGGTGGAGGTAGGTCTTATTTTCGGGGGAGGGCTTATATTAGCGGTACGTCAAAAAGTACCACTAGGGCTTACTTTTGGGGTAGGTCTTATTTTCGGGGAAACTTGGTATATTCTCGCTACTCAATAAGTATAACCTGTATGAATGTATGGAGATGTTCTGAAAAGGACTTTACGTTCTTTTCCTCTTTTTAGCTGATAAGTTTTCTTTACAAAATGTCTTTCCAATCTGACATTGGTACAATCTCTTGCTCCCATTACTCTGGAGTTTGATGATAACCTCCGCAGAACACCTCCATCAATCTGAGAATCAATTCCTCCCTCCTGGTGAACAAACTATACCAACAGATTAAACAAGAGCACCATAACTTTTTTTTCAGAATAATGACAAACCCTGACACTAATAGATTTACACTTTGGAACACTTTGGAAGTTTATATGAGAGGTATTCTGATCAAATTAGCAGCCTTGGTTAAGAGACAGAGGACAAGGCAGATTGAAGACTTACTCCACTCCATATCTTCCCAAGAAAAAGCAAATAAGCTTAATCCAGATCCCCAAATTTCCCAAGCCATACCTAGAGATAGACAATCTTTACACTCGCTTCTTCTTCACAAATAGGAAACTCACCTTAAATTCTTGAAGGCTAACTCATATGGTTTAAAGCAACAAAGCTGAAGCCAAACTAGCCAGGCAAGTCAAAGCCCAACAAATTAAACAACACATTTCCTCTATTACTCACCCTCATTTCCAACAGCAAGTTTATTTAATCCCAAAGACATTGATAATGAATTTAGCGACTATTACCCATCACTTTACAATCCATGCAATGACACTACCACTCCACAACCATCCTCCGACTTCATCTCTGATTTTCTTTAGCTCCCCTCTTGGTTATGTACCATTTTATCCCACATATCAATCTCACGATGTGGCAATTTAATGGTATAAAATATCTTGTGGACATACATGATGGCGACTTCCTGCTCACCTTTGAATGCATCAGAGACCGTTTCCCCCTTCCCCCCCTTCTTCTTTTTTTACATATCTACAAATCCTGAATTTTTCTTCATGCTCACTCCATAGATTCCTTCAAGAGTACTCTTACCCTATTAAAAGAATTTCACTGTTTTACAACTGGTATAACCAGAACAACTCCTTCTCTAAAATTAATATGATCTTAAAATAGGAACGCATACTAGGCACTACCTTCTCAGAAGAAACTTGGCAAAGAACCTTTTCCCTTACATATTCAGCCTCTCATTGCGCTACTCACTGGAAATCATATCAAAAATCGATCCACCAATGGTATATTACACCTTAAAAACTCTCCAAATTCTATCCCACCCACAATGACCATGTTGGCAAAATTGTGGAGAAACTGGTTCTTCATATAATGTTATGTGGCAATGAAAATCGTTAAGATGCTGTTGGAATCAAAATCTTCCATGTAGATCCCTCATAATAGGGCCACCAATAGACCCTGACCCTGCATTAGCGCTATTAACTTGTGCGTCCATGACTTCCCTCCCAATACTAGGCTGGTTCTGATACACCTATTCTTACAGCTAAAATTATGGTTACTAGATTGTGGACCTCTAATCAAAATCCTTCAGTCTTAGACTGTATATCCACACTTAACCACCAATGTGAAATTGAAAAATTGTTGTCTATTACTAACTTTACGATTTTTAAGTTTCAAAAGTCATGGTTAGTATGGCTACAACATCCGAAATGTACTGTTGACCCTATCTGATATTTGCTCCTATATGTCTATAGGTTAATGATTAGGTTGCCAAACCCATGGTTGGTTAGCTGCTACATTCCCCATCTGGGCTGTATCCCCATATTTTCCCCTACCTCTCTATCTCCCTCATCCCTCTTTCTATCTCCCCCCCTCCCACTTTCCCTCATTCCACCTATCTACCTTCCCTTCCTTATATTTGTAAAAAATGTATACTCTTGCACTTTCCGTCTGACACCATAATCAGACGCCATGTTATGCTGTATTGAACTGTTAATAGCCTGTCTTCCTATTTGCTTTTTTGTACTGGTAAAACACTAAATCTACCTTGTACTATTTGTATTTGTATGTGCAATCATATGCTAATAAAGAAATATTTGAAAAAAAAATTACTTAAAATTACTTGTAACTTTTGTTGTACAGGAACTACTTATGATAGACAGAAAGTGTAAAGGTGATATTGACATGATGATAGCCTGTTTCAGCAGGTGGGTGTGTTGCCCACAAAAGGGAGACTTCCCCCAATTCAGAGTTCCCTCCTTTTGAGACAGATTTGCTGCAGAAACAGGGAGGGTGGAGATACAAAAGGATCTTGTGAACAGGCCTGTCTAGCCCTATGGACAGGCGCTTTGGCCAAACTGATACCTAATGGAAAGAGAATGGATTAATATCTTGTACAGAAAAATATGGTGCTTGAATAGACAGCGAACATGTACAGCCCAGGTTGGAAAACACTGCAGCCAGGAGACTAAATATTATTTGTGTCCAGTTTTTTCAGCTGAAACTTGGTGGAACTCAGTTCCACCACCTCTGGCTCAGGCCCCCTGCTCCCTGCTCACCACTATGACTTGTAAACATAGAAGTCAGGCTTCTGTGTTGTTTACAATTGACAGCTTGTCTTCCAATGGATCCCACAGATGTGGTCTCCTGAGTGCAGGATAGGGACAAGGGAGATGCAGGTGCCCAGGGTCTAGTGCGGATGCTAGCACCCCTACTGGATGATCCCGCTCAAGTTAGATAAGCATAACCACCTACAGTGTACGCGGAGGTGTGCTAAAGCCGGCTATGTGTTTCAGCCTAATACAGCAACAAAAGTAAGGCATGTGAAGATGCACTCTGTGTGTAGCACAGCCCTGCACTCTGAATGCAGCTTACCCCTGAACTCTGCACTATGTACATAGCACACCCCTAATGTATACATTGTATACGTAATAAACCCTTGAACATTGCACTCTGTGTGTAACCAACCCTCCCAAATACTGCACTCTGTATGTAATGCACTCCTGGTAGTTAATACCCCTTTAAGGCCCTCCCTCTGTTAGTGAAATTTGACTACACCCACTATTTAATGTGATTTGGAGGGCGTGTGTGTGGGGGGAGGGGTTCTTTTGGGGATCGTTGTTGAGTTATAGCATCTATTTTCTGGGGGGGAAAAAGCCCTGTATTTAGACACTTTTATGGATTAACATAAGTGGGTGAGCCTAAAAAACATACCTTTCCAGGAAAACTCTTCATTTAGAGCTAAACCTCACATTATTTAGAAGTGATCTGACCATTCAACCAATACTTCATCATTCTAGGACTGATGTAAGAGAAGCTGAGATTTCAAATACATTTTACCCTTTCAAAGGCCTAGCATTCATATAGGTTCTAGGACCAACATAATCACTGCTACTGGCAACTGTTTAATCTTTAACAGTCTCCTTTTCAAACTCCTCATCACATTAAGCTAGTTTTATTTGTGGCCAAAATGCTGAAGTATCTACATGTAAAATCAAATGCTTTTCTTTGACTGACACACAAATCCTTTTGGTATTGCATTTATTCAGTACAACAAAGAAAAATGTTTTATAACAACAACAACAAAAGTAGGTGATGTGCTCCCTTCACCATGTATCTAAACCCACTTCAACCTAAAATATAAATTTTTTTTTATGTTTATTTGAGACTTTGTGTTTGTACTGTGATTATTCAATGTGGATTTGTCACAAAAGGGAGACATGGAGACCTTTTGAATCAAAAACACAGGATAATTTTCTTTTTTTTTTCTTGTTTTCAAACTTCTATTAGGCAAAGTCAAAAAGATATGACATAGTACAGACTTACAAATACAAAAAAAAGTAGACATATTCAAATAAAAAAAATGCAGTATAAAAAGTATACAGAAATCTGATGAAACTACAATACAGATCATACATGTGTGAGGATTAACATCATATCATGGGACAAAAAGGGTAAATATTAGAGATGAGCGAAGTATTCAAAAATTCGATTCGGCTGATTCGGCGAATTCGAGGAATAAATTTGATTCGATGCGAATATATTCGCTGCGAATTTAACTTATAAAAGGGTGTTTCTAGCTTCAGAGAGCCTTTATATTAGTGCAGAACACTGTACCTTTAATTTAAATGCCCTTGGAGTCTGCTGGGGAAGAGAAATAATACTGTCAGTCAGTATGACATGCAGATGAGTGCCGTCGATCTTAGAATCACCGCACACTTCACTCATTTGGGCAGTCACGGGGCCAAAACCAGAGTGTGGAGCCACAGTGTGGCGGTGGAGGCAGCAGCAATGGGAGGCCATACAGCACCCTATGACAAAAATGGAACCCACCAGCAGTGTGAGGAGACCTGAAAGTGGCACATGGCAGAGTGTGGCGATGGAGACAGCAGCAATGGGAGGCCGTACAGGGACCCATGAGACACTCTGGACCTGGCAGCAGCATTAGGAGGCGGTACAGGGGCCCATGGCAGATTACGGGCCTGGCAGCAGCAATGGGAGGCCCGTAATCTGCCAGCACCCTATGACAAAATGGAACACACCAGCAGTGTGAGGAGACCTGAAAGTGGCACATGGCAGAGTGTGGCGATGGAGACAGCAGCAATGGGAGGCCGTACAGGGACCCATGAGACACTCTGGACCTGGCAGCAGCATGAGGAGGCGGTACGGGGGGCCCATGGCAGATTACGGGCCTGGCAGCAGCAATGGGAGGCCCGTAATCTGCCAGCACCCTATGACAAAATGGAACCCACCAGCAGTGTGAGGAGACCTGAAAGTGGCACATGGCAGAGTGTGGCGATGGAGACAGCAGCAATGGGAGCCGTACAGGGACCCATGAGACACTCTGGACCTGGCAGCAGCATGAGGAGGCGGTACGGGGGCCCATGGCAGATTACGGGCCTGGCAGCAGCAATGGGAGGCCCGTAATCTGCCAGCACCCTATGACAAAATGGAACCCACCAGCAGTGTGAGGAGACCTGAAAGTGGCACATGGCAGAGTGTGGCGATGGAGACAGCAGCAATGGGAGGCCGTACAGGGACCCATGAGACACTCTGGACCTGGCAGCAGCATGAGGAGGCGGTACGGGGGCCCATGGCAGATTACGGGCCTGGCAGCAGCAATGGGAGGCCCGTAATCTGCCAGCACCCTATGACAAAATGGAACACACCAGCAGTGTGAGGAGACCTGAAAGTGGCACATGGCAGAGTGTGGCGATGGAGACAGCAGCAATGGGAGGCCGTACAGGGACCCATGAGACACTCTGGACCTGGCAGCAGCATGAGGAGGCGGTACGGGGGCCCATGGCAGATTACGGGCCTGGCAGCAGCAATGGGAGGCCCGTAATCTGCCAGCACCCTATGACAAAATGGAACCCACCAGCAGTGTGAGGAGACCTGAAAGTGGCACATGGCAGAGTGTGGCGATGGAGACAGCAGCAATGGGAGGCCGTACAGGGACCCATGACACACTCTGGACCTGGCAGCAGCATGAGGAGCGGTACGGGGGCCCATGGCAGATTACGGGCCTGGCAGCAGCAATGGGAGGCCCGTAATCTGCCAGCACCCTATGACAAAATGGAACCCACCAGCAGTGTGAGGAGACCTGAAAGTGGCACATGTTTGGGGGCATTATTCATGACGGATTTAGTCAATTGTGTCAGGAACTGGTGGTTTGAAATCCAGACTAATCCACGCCTGATTCATTTTCACAAACGTGAGTCTCTCCACACTTTGGGTGGACAGTCGTGTCCTCCGCGGAGTTACAATACCTCCTGCCGCACTAAAACACGCGCTCCGATGCCACGCTACTGGCCGGGCATGACAGCCTTTCAAGGGCAAATTCAGCTAGTTGGGGCCAAAGGTCAAGTTTCGTTGCCCAGTAGTCAAGGGATTGTCTACCTCGGTTGGCAGGGTGCTGTCCAAGTAGGCCCAAGCCTGTTGTTTGAGGTCCTGCTCCAGGTCCACCTGATGCTGCTGCTGCTGCTGCGGCTGGTTAGTAGTTTCCTCACTGCGCTGGTGAAGAAAGCTACTCATCATCGACTGCAGACTGAGGCAGCCGCTGCTGGTGGAGCTGCCACTGCTCCTACCACCCCACCCCTCCCCTGCTGCCATGGCAGCGAACGCGAAGCGAGCGCACAGGGCCCACAGTGTCTGAGGATGGACGTTGGCGCAGAAAGGCAGAGACCAACTGACTACATAGGTGGTTTTTATAGTACGTTATTTTGGCCTCCCTCTCAGCAGGTGTGAAAAAGGCCACCATTTTTTGAACGGTAGTGAGGGTCCAACAAGGTGGACAGCCAAAAGTCATCCCTCTGTCTGATGGTTATTATTCGGCTGTCGCTACGCAAGCAACCGAGCATGCTATGGGCCATTTGTGCCAAGGAATGCGAGGGACTCCCTGCCTCCATCTCCACAGCATACTGCCACGGTGCGTCTGGGTCCTCTGTCTCCTCCTCCTCCTCCTCTACCAGATGCTCCTGCTCCTCCACTCCTGTCCGCTGAGTGGAAAAACCACCCATTTCACTCAATAATTCCTGAGCACCAATGTCCTCCTCTACCTCCTCCTCTTCTTCCTGTCCTGCCCCCACAGGGGTCATGTGGCGTTGAGATCTGTGCGCCACGTCTACCGCACCCTGACCAGCCATTGTTAACAGCATTTGTTCCAGGACGTGCAACAGAGGAATGACGTCGTTCATCCCATAGTCCTGCCGACTCACGAATAGCGTGGCCTCCTCAAAGGGCCTGAGCAAGCGGCAGGTGTCACGCATGAGCTGCCAATGGCTGACATCTAAGTTACACAGGGGAGTACCTTTATCCGCTTGTAACATCAGGAAATCTGTGATGGCCTTTCGCTGTTCGTAAAGGCGGTCTAACATATGTAGGGTTGAATTCCACCTTGTTGCAACGTCACAGCATGAGGAGGCAGTACGGGGGCCCATGGCAGATTACGGGCCTGGCAGCAGCAATGGGAGGCCCGTAATCTGCCAGCACCCATTGACAAAAAATGGAAACCCACCTGGCAGCAGCATGGAGGAGACAGCAGCAATGGGGCCGTACAGGGACCCATGAGACACTCTGGCCCTGGCAGCAGCATGAGGAGGCGGTACGGGGCCCATGGCAGATTACGGGCCTGGCAGCAGCAATGGGAGGCCCGTAATCTGCCAGCACCCTATGACAAAATGGAACACACCAGCAGTGTGAGGAGACCTGAAAGTGGCACATGGCAGAGTGTGGCGATGGAGACAGCAAAATGGCAACTCTGGCAGCATGAGAGACAGCAGCAATGGGAGGACCGTACAGACCCATGACACACAGTGGACCTGGCAGCAGCATGAGGAGGCGCGGTACAGGGGCCCATGGCAGATTACGGGCCTGGCAGCAGCAATGGGAGGCCCGTAATCTGCCAGCACCCTATGACAAAAAATGGAACACACCACAGCAGTGTGAGGAGACCTGAAAGTGGCACATGGCAGAGTGTGGCGATGGAGACAGCAGCAATGGGAGGCCGTACAGGGACCCATGAGACTCTGGACCTGGCAGCAGCATGAGGAGGCGGTACGGGGGCCCATGGCAGATTACGGCCTGGCAGCAGCAATGGGGGAGGCCCGTAATCTGCCAGCACCCTATGACAAAATGGAACCCACCAGCAGTGTGAGGAGACCTGAAAGTGGCACATGGCAGAGTGTGGCGATGGAGACAGCAGCAATGGGAGGCCGTACAGGGACCCATGAGAGACTCTGGACCTGGCAGCAGCATGAGGAGGCGGTACAGGGGCCCATGGCAGATTACGGGCCTGGCAGCAGCAATGGGAGGCCCGTAATCTGCCAGCACCCTATGACAAAATGGAACCCACCAGCAGTGTGAGGAGACCTGAAAGTGGCACATGGCAGAGTGTGGCGATGGAGACAGCAGCAATGGGAGGCCGTACAGGGACCCATGAGACACTCTGGACCTGGCAGCAGCATGAGGAGGCGGTACGGGGGCCCATGGCAGATTACGGGCCTGGCAGCAGCAATGGGAGGCCCTAATCTGCCAGCACCCTATGACAAAAAATGGAACCCACCAGCAGTGTGAGGAGACCTGAAAGTGGCACATGGCAGAGTGTGGCGATGGAGACAGCAGCAATGGGAGGCCGTACAGGACCCATGAGACTCTGGACCTGGCAGCAGCATGAGGAGCAGTGTGAGGAGACCTGAAAGTGGCACATGGCAAGTGTGGCGATGGAGACAGCAGCAATGGGAGGCCGTACAGGACCCATGAGAGACTCTGGACCTGGCAGCAGCATGAGGAGGCGGTACAGGGGCCCATGGCAGATTACGGCCTGCACAGCAATGGGAGGCCCGTAATCGGGGGGCCTGGCAATTACGGGGGCCTGGCAGCGCAAAGGGAGCCCAAAACTGCCACACCCATACAAAATGGAACAAAAACCAGCAGTGTGGGGGAACCTGAAAGTGGCACATGGAAGTGTGGGGGTGGAGACACAGCAATGGGAGGCCGTACAGGGACCCATGAAAACTTGGCCCCGGGAGCA